AAAGAGAAACTAAGTGATGAACAGAAATAAGCACTGTTTCTGCTTATAAATTCTATCATTATGAAAAGTGTAACGCAGGTCTTATTTTTTTCTTACGCTTTATCTGATTTCGCTCCAGAGTGCTTCCTACCTGGGGGCGGGAGGGGTAGGCGGGGAACAGGGATGTAAAGAGTAAGAGACTTGGTGGGGTGGGGGTGGGGGGCGGGTGCCGGTCCCCAGGGTCCGTCTTGGGAACTGAGCTGCCTCTGGCCTGATCTTGCAGTTCCCAGCTGCCTTCAGGTTCTGCAACCCTAATGCCAGCCTCCCTGCTCCTTTTCTTCCCCACCCAGAAATGGGAAGGACTGGGATAGGGTGGCTGCTAGGGAAGGGATCCAGGAGGAGCGAAAGCTGGCCCTGTCTCCTCTGCTCCTGAGCCCACTGCTCCATCGTCTCCTCCTTCCCGTGATGCAGCTCTGCCTTCCTGCTTCAGCCTCTCTGCCCCGTCCCGAAAATGTCCCTTAGATCCTCAACCACTGCAAGTGCTCTGGGGGGCCTGATGATATGAGGCATCGGCTCCCGCAGCCACACCAAACGGTGGCAGACGCCCTCAGCCTGAAACGTCCGTGTTTTGTGCTTAGCTTAGTAAAGTAGGCACTTGAAATTCCAGGCTGAAATTCAGAATATATATGTATTCAAAGTTCTTCTTTACAAAATTAAAATCTTTTATTAAACGGTAAAGTCTTAAATGCTAACCAAAGCAACTTATTTTTAATTAGCATTTTTAGATGCATTTCTGTCCTATTAAATTCACTGCTGGCTAAGGTAAGATACCTGTCAGAAGTTAAGGTATATTTTCTCCAAGTCTTTGTAGGGTTTCTTGGGTATATTACAGAAGACTTTTCTAAAGGTATGTTGTTAGCCTCTTAACAGCTCAAATAACCGTTCTCATTGCACCCTGCATCCCTCCGTAAACGTGTATTACATGAAAAGCCTGTCCAGCACCAGGACACAGCTGGCAGCAGCCGGGTGCCGGATGAATCAAGTGCCAGGTGTGTTCCCAAGGCTCTCCCTGCCCTCCGGGAGCCACCGGAAGTCCCTGTGACAGAGGGCAGGTGGGCCACGTGGTTGCTGCCAAGGGGCTGGCCGAAATGCTCCAACTTCTTCAGGAATCATTTTCAATAAAGCTTGGAGAGCAGTCCAGTTTGAATGGGTGGAAATCTTTTCTTGTCATTCTTTTAAAATGGATGATACAGATGGAAATAAAAGGTGGAAAATATATTCAAAAATTGTCAGCCTAACTTTGCAATGAGTTACTCAAACTCCTAAACTGTTGTGAGTGTTGAAAATGTCTGGGTGGTCTAGAGCTTCATTTAGTTCGAGACGTTTGCTTCCGTTGACTTCCGTGAGGAAGTCAAATGTATGCCCTCAAAAGCACCATCGATGTCTGTTGTTAAAAGACGAAGTGTACAAAGGCTCTGGGCCTGTGGGGGAGGGGAGACTGAGTCGGGGAAGCGGGGTTTGCTTCCTCAGCGGGGGAAGCGGCCGAGGGCCGAGGCGATGAGGGGTTTCTAGCCTCATTTGAGACGTCAGACTTGGATTGGGGGCCTAGGTTGCAGCTTCTGGCTAACAAGTTACTGCCCGGGGCTTGGGCCAGGTGTGGCTTCTAGCTTCCCAAAGTGCTTCCTAATGATCTTGGAAAAGGCTAGGGAATTCAAGCCACACTAGCAGGTCTAGTGCTCCACTTTCCTATGAAGAGACACAGAGAAGCCAGTTCTTGAGCTCGGGACAGTGCCGGCTATACCCTCCCTCCCCACGCACTGGGGACGGGCCTCCGTCCTGGCTCTGCCTCGAGCTGGTTGTATGAAACTTGACAGGTGGCGACTGTCACTCCCTGCTCCGGAATCACTTCCTGCTCTGGAATGCAAGAGAAGGAGCAAAGGAAATTTGTGATGAAAATGCTGTTAAACAGGAGGGAGTGTGCTGAGCCTGAAGTCGCAGGGGAGATGGGTTTGGGGGGTTCTCCTTGGAGAGACAGAGGGAAAGGACATTCCAGACCTGGGACAAATGAGATAGGAGCTGAGTGTGCCATATTCATGGGGTCGCAGGGGCTGTTCTAGACCCACCAGAGAGGGTGTGTGGGGGAAGAGATTAAGGCTGGAAAGATTGCCGAGTCCAACTACAAAGCACCCTGAAAGGCAGGCAGGGGTCTAGACTTGAGTGGTGAATACCAGGGCCATGAGAGGGCTCCGAGCAGGA